GGGGCAGAGGGGGATCCAGGAGCCCCGCCAAATCCAGCCCTTGCGGAGTCCAGGGGGCAAGCACAGACGCGGGGCTTCGGCTCCTGCAGGCGCCGAGCGAGCGAGAGAGGTCTCTCTGCCGCCGGCTGTGCCCAAACGGGGCTAGGCACCCTCTCTGTTGGGGCGGCTTTCGCTCGGATGCTGGATTCTGTGGGCCCTCCCCCTCTAGGGTTTTACAGAGAGGTCCTGGGGCAGAACAATGAGCTGAGGGTCCCCCTGGAGTAGAGCGTCAGGGTGCCTGGAGCTGTTCTTCCGAGGAAGGCCTGTGGGTGGGGCGCTGAGATTCGGGGGGCGAGCTTTGGGAGAGGCGGCTGCCCTTCTGGGGTGCTTTGGTGAGGCCCAGGCTGGCTGAGTCGGACCTGTTGGGTGCAGCAGCCCTGAGCTCTTTCTCGTCTCTGGCCTCCGGGCCGGGCACCGCTTCCGACACCTGCCCCTTTCCCTTGGCAGGTGGCCCACCCCCTGGTCCAGAAGCAGCTGGTGGATTACATCCATAACGGGTTCCTGGTGCCAGTTATGGGCCCGGCTTTGCACAAGGTGAGAGCTCAAGCAAGGTTGGGCCTTCCTCTCTCCTCCCCTCGGAAGAGGAGCAGAATGCCACCTGGGTGAGCTGCCTTCCATGGGCCTTGTCCTCTGGCAGCAGCGGGCCAGGCCGTCCTCTGGTCGGGCACCTGCGGCTCTGAGGCTTGCGGTGCGGCAGAACGATCGATGGCCGCCGGGCTGGGGGGCCCGGGGCTGCTGTCCCCAAAGGCGGAGCTCACGAGCTGTAATACGGCGCTGCTGGCGGCCTCTGCTCAGGAGGAGACGGGCGCCGTCTTCCCCTCCCCTCCCCTCCCCTCGCTGGGTCAACGAGTCCTCCCGGCCGCAGACCTCCGCGGCGGGAGCAGCTTTGCTGAGGTGCCTCTGTCCGCCAGACGTCCATCGAGGAAATGATCGCCAGCACGGCCTACTTGGACCTCTTCCTGCGCAGCGTCAGCGAGACGGCCCTGCTGAAGACCTTCTTGCGTTTCCTGCTGCTCCACCGCCACGACAGCAGCACCATCCTCGACACGCTGGTGGCGCGGATCGCCAGCAATTCCCGGGTGAGGCAGCCAGTCTGGCGCGGGCGTGACGGGTGGCGACAGGAGGCCGCGAGGAACGCGCGACTTGGGGTCTCCCCTCAAGTTCCTCACGACCGCGGAAGGGGGGAAGCAGGCGTCCCCCTCACCGAGTCGGTCTCCGGGGAGGCTGCCTTCAAGTGGCCGCAGCTGGACTTGCCAGGACGGCTTTGTAGCTCAGGAAGGCCCCCCTGGAGGAGCGGGGCTGCTGGCCGTCAGTGGGGGGTGGGGGGGCTGCTTCATCTCATCCTGCGCCGCCTCCTTGCTCCCCCAGCTCTGCATGGTCTCCCTCAGCCTCTTCCGGACTTTGATCGGCCTCCACTGCGAGGACGTCTTGCTGCAGCTGGTGCTGAGGTACTGGGGGACTCCCTGCCGGGCAGAATCCCTCTCTGGGGGCCCTGGATGGAGGTGCTTGTTTGCCCAGGAGGCGGGGCCAGCCAGAGCTTGGGGGCTCGCCGCTGGGAGGGCCCCCTCCTGCAGTGGGGAGGGCCTGGTGCCCCTCCCCA